TGGGAGGGAAAGCCACCACTCCTAGAGGAGAGACAGGGAAGAGGAGGCTACAGTGGTGGTGGCAGCGGCAGCTGGAGGAGGAAAGAGGGCTATAGTTTATTTGCTCCATCCAGAACCCAGTATAGCAAGCATATGAAAAAGTTAGGCATGACAAGGGAAGATGCTTAAAATTTGCCATCTGTCTAGAGGTCAACTTGATTTACTTATAGATAATTTTCTCTCAAGTCTTTCCCAGGCCTATAAATAGCATGGTTGTTACACCATATTTGTGTTATTTGCATAACCAGTGGTTCTTTTTGCAGACAAGCAGGTCGGGTTTCTGTATTCTTATTGAAGTGTGCACTCATTTAGGTCTCCAGTTCCCTGTGAAGTATTCTCTTTTCTGGAAAAAATCCAGAAACTAGTCTTTCAGATTGTACTTTGTAGTCCAGAAATAGAAGTCAAACTCTAGAGATAATGGATAAAGATGGACTTTATTATAAGTGAGAGTTGTGATCTGCCCCGGGAGAGGAAGCTCAACAATATTTCAGATCCGACATATATGCAGGTGTGTACAAAGGAAAGAAAGTCTCCCAGATTCTGAGTTTCCTGGAAGAAGAAAGGACTCTCACAGTGAAAGGGGACTTTCCTCTATTGCAACAGATTGGCTTCCATGGGGAAGACCCCAAATACAGGAATGTCTACCTGGCACTGGCCAATTTTCTCTTATACAGAACCCTGTTCCCCTTCCCTGCTACCCTTTGATAACTGAAGGTCACATGAGAGTAAGCACTTCTTCCATAAGGTCATAGTCCAGACTTCCAGCCTCATGACAAGGCACAGAAACATGCAACTTGGGAAAAACTGAAATTTCCCCTCTAGTCAGTATTCACATCCTGGGTATCCTTTGACTTACACTGGAAATCTTCCACTAATGCTAAAGCTCTTCTGCATGCATTTATCCCGTCTAACATCACTATTGCTGAACATTGTGTAGCTCCATTAAAACTGCTCATCTGTGTGCTTTGTTTCAGTTTCTGAGACAGAGGCAGAAGGAAGGAGCAGAGTATCTGCCATGAACCAGAAGATAATGATCGTTTAGGGCTCGCTGTCTAAAAGACTCCATGCTCCATGACTATTTACTTCTAGTTAAGTGTGTATTCAATAGGATTAGAAAGTCCTGTTGGAAGTGCCGCAGTAGTGCTACAATTAAAACTTTCACAGCCTCTCTTGCTCTATTGTACTAACCATGTTTCATTCTCACGATTCAAAACATCCCACCCCTCTTCCGTAGACTCATGCAGATCCACTCACACCAGTGACTCTCACATTCACTACAGCCGGTCATCCTCCTGCAGATCCACTCACACCAGTGACTCTCACATTCACTACAGCCGGTCATCCTCCTGCAGATCCACTCACACCAGTGACTCTCACATTCGCTACAGCCGGTCATCCTCCTGCAGATCCACTCACACCAGTGACTCTCACATTCGCTACAGCCGGTCATCCTCCTGCAGATCCACTCACACCAGTGACTCTCACATTCGCTACAGCCGGTCATCCTCCTGCAGATCCACTCACACCAGTGACTCTCACATTCGCTACAGCCGGTCATCCTCCTGCAGATCCACTCACACCAGTGACTCTCACATTCGCTACAGCCGGTCATCCTCCTGCAGATCCACTCACACCAGTGACTCTCACATTCGCTACAGCCGGTCATCCTCCTGCAGATCCACTCACACCAGTGACTCTCACATTCACTACAGCCGGTCATCCTCCTGAAAGCCAAATCCGATCCTGATATTGCTTTTAGTGTAAACATAGGATAAACTGAACAACCATATAAGGACATTCTCATGAAGGACACACTCTCCATATTTCATGGTCCTGTTAGTAGCTGGTCACCATGTATAAATGGGATTTGGACGAGCATCTCACTGTTAGTACAGAGGTCAGATTATTAACATGGCCACTTTCCAGAGCCCTGACAGCCTGATCTCATGCTGCTCCCTCACCTGCTTCCTGGCATCCAGCCACACTGGACTCTGAGAACATAACTTGCGTTTGCTCATGCTGACCATCAGCCAGGTTACTCCTCATACCACAAGCTCTTCCCTGCTTCATTGTCGTAAATGATATGAACCTGTTCTCCATCCACACCCCTCTAACTCTGTACACAGTAGAGCTAGCTGCTCTCTTGACTATGACCATACAAGAAGTTAGTTGGTGCTGGCGTAGCACACAGTAACTTTAATAATGGGCTGTGTTTGTTTCTGTATTCTGTTTCCGTGGTGTTTATCCTGACTGAGCACTGACTCTGTCCCCAGCTCGTGTACATTCACCACATTTTCTTGCAAATAAATGCACAAGAGCTTACATTCTGGAGAAAAAACAGAAAGGAAAAGATGGTGATCAGGCCATGATTTTTTCTAATAAACATGGTTATATTTTATCAGCATAAAATTTCAACTTTTTCTCTTGCACTTCGGAGTGTTTTTACTGTGCTACTCAGCTTTAGAGGCATCACAGGGTGCCAGGCATTGGGTGGGATTTGGAATCTGGATCTGGTCTTAGTCCTCACTGACTGTGAATTTGAACAACTCACACAACCCTTGTAATATGTAGCCTCTCTACTTAAACAGAAACATCTCCCTAGTTGTTTTCTTTTGGAGAGTGTGTGACCTACACATATAAGAAGCTGAAAGCGGTTTATAAGAACATGTGTCACTTTTATTATGGTTGTTTTATATGATGATTTTGAAGATATTTTTCATGAACTATTTCTATTTCAGAGATGATACAAACTATTGGAGGATTAAATCCCATGCAATTGTATATTTGATTCTTTTTCTTTTCTTTATAAAAAATAAATGAATCCAGTGGTGGTGGCTCATGCCTTTAATTCTAGCTCTCTGGAGGAAGAGACAGGAAAACATCTATGAGTTCAAGGCTAGCCTGGTGTACTGAGCTAGTTCCAGTACAGTCAGGGTTACACAGAGAACCCTTGTCTCAAAAAATCAAAATAATAATAAAATAATAACAGTAATGCTTATGTATAAGACTATTCTCTGACCCTTACACTATTCTGAAGAAAGGGTAAAGAGTTTCACCTCCCTCTCTTTGTATCTAGGCCATCCAACTCCTCAAGCATCATCATATCTCCATTGCTTGCAATACACATGCAACGAAAGTAGTGTTTGGGATTCCATTCCCACTCCCTTCCTTCGACCTTGTAGTCTTTCCTTTTCTTTCCCTGACAGGTGCTAGTTGTGTGCCTATTGACTCAGGATAGCACAGAGCAGGGTGGGAAAGACCAAGTACATACACCATTCTGGCCTTTAACTTCAAAAGGGGACTCCTGAACACAGGGCAGGGAAGCAGGGAGGAGGTGAACGCTACACCACACTCAAAGTCCCAGATTTCCTTCCTGGTGAAGTGAGATGAAGTGGCATAACCCACGTTAGATTAGTTGTATAGAATGTCTGAAAATTCTGCTTTTCTAGCCAGTGAAGAAGCTGTATATAGTCTGCATAAAGTGATAAATAACATCTAACGTCCTCACCACCAAATAAAGCAGTGCTACGAAGTAAAAGAAATCACATATACAACAACACACACACATGCGCACATGGTGAATACTAACTAAATACTTAGAAAATGCCCAGTATCTACCAAACCACATTGACTTTTTGACTCAACGCATCGAACTAATTCCATTCTGGACCAAACACTGTGTTATATTTTCTGCATTCTTGGTCCTGGACTTCAATGTGGTACTACAGAGAGAAATTCAAAAAGAAAAAAAAAAGAGGACAAATCCAATCCAAGACCACTGTAGAGACTGCTTCATCCTCCAGCTGTTCTTCCTGGCCAGTACAATGCTTCTCTCTAGTCCCCTTCTCATGTCCTTCTTTCTCCTTATCTCTTTATGAACCTCAATTTGTGGCTAGCCAGAAGTCACAGTTTCCCACTTTTCCCAGTTTCTTCCACAGGTAAACTGAGTCCTTTCCCACCATCACAGCAAAACAGACCCTTTGGGTTGCTCATTGCACCCCTTGTCTATTCCATCTGTCTGGAGAGATTCGTCTATGCTAGGACACAGCTAGGGCCTTAAAGAAAAAAGACCATCTCTTCTGGTTCAAGAGTACTTTGATCATAAAGCAGAATTAAACGTTTGCTTCAAAGAAAATCCCCTTGGAGTCTTGAGGCTGAAAGGAGCATTTGGAAGAACTAGGGTGTTTTTTCTTTGATTTCTGATTTTTGAGTGACAACTCTCTCAAAGAAAAGTAGTAGCCATGGCACTACATGTCCTCCAACAAGTGAGCAGGGGCAGTTACTTCAAACATGTGGTCCGTGGCATCTGTGAATCATGAATGAAGCCTCCTGACGTTGGTTCTTCTGGACCTCCAGGAGGTCACAGAGGTCCGAGAGCAATTGCTCACAAGGTTTTGCTGTACCCAGCTTCCCAGAACCAGGCCTTCCCCTGCTTTTGAGCTTGGCATGCTCAACAGAGAATACTTAGTTTCTTACTTTTTCCTCCAGAAGTAGATGGATTACTCTTTGTGGTGCTCATGTTTCTACCCCACCACGTTTCACACAGATGTGGCAGCTTTGCATTGGAGCATTTTTGATAGAGCCTCACAGATGTATAAATAAATTGGGTTTTCCCATACTTTTTCCAGGGAGAGAGGCCCGCACTTTTTCAAAATTATCTATTGTCGTACCATCCAAATACTGTTGTTTCCCAGCAGAGATCAGAGTCTTCAGAGCATAGGAAATAAGAACAGGTAAGTTTCAGTTATGTGAAATCAATGTGGTAACTGTCAGGTTTGGGCTTAGGAAGACAAATGCAGGTAAAATACTGTACTGGGATTTTGATTTCTATGACTGGGGCTGTAGGTTCTTTGAGAAAGCATATCTAAGTGTGGATTGGTCCAGTGTGTCTCTTGGTTACCCTGTTGTAGCTCTGGAGAAATGTTTTAAGTCAGGCTGTCTTTCTTCTCTCTTCCTTACAGATTCATGAAGGTGGCAGGGAGCACAGTAGACGCGGTTACCTGGCAACAGTAGGTATTCATCATTTTTAATCTCACTTATTATTGGCTGCTGTGAAATGAAAGATAATTAGTTGTCACAAAGTTCACAGATGACATTTAATAAACTAGCCTTTATCTTTCAAAAAAATTAAAATCACCTCTAAAGCTGTTATTATAACACATGTTGTCTGATAATGCTATGACTTTATTTTGTCATTTCAAAATCATAACTCCCCCCCAAAAAAATACTGACACAAGTTGGAAATCTCACCTATTAATGTACACTCTTAAATTGATCTGTCAGGAATGAAGGGTAATGGAGATTAAGCGTGGCACCATTTCCCTATCGAAATAAATTTCCCTGATTAAGAGAGGAAACAGTTTCAATTGTTCAAAGTATGATGTGAAAATAGATATACTTCATTATAGTCTTAGCTGTGGTGTTAATTAGGGCCAAGAAATTTGATAATATAAAGCATGTTAAAAAAAGAAAAAAGAATGTTCAGAAAATGAAGCAACTTCTGGGAAAGGGATAAGCTGCAGCAGTCCAGGAACAAGCTCACGTTGGCATTCCTGTCACATCAATGTCACTTGCTTTGGAAGGGCAGCTACATTTAAGTTTTCTGCGAGTCTCCTCCTGTCTATGCCAGGGTTAGAATTTGGAATCATTTTCTTCCCCTACAGCATCTCAGTCACTTCTCAGTGTGATACAGATGTCTCCCACTCCACACCCTGCTGGCTCAGACTGACCATCCTTCTTAGTTAACCCCTCCCACTCGTCTGTCCCATTTTATCTGGGTTCATTATGGTACATGAAGGCGTGAAAGAAAAAAGAAGTGGATAGACTACTTATTAAACTATCCAGAAAGGACTTTGGGGTTGTTGGTAATAAATCATTGTAGGAACTATTTTAGCCATTTTTTAGGAAGTTCTGCTCTTCATCCTGTTTTTGTGAGGCATAGAATAGGTCTACTATAGAATAGGTCTACTATAGAATAGGTCTACTATAGAATAGGCCTACTATAGAATAGGTCTACTATAGAATAGGTCTACTATAGAATAGGTCTACTATAGACTAGGTCTACTATAGAATAGGTCTACTATAGACTAGGTCTACTATAGAATAGGTCTACTATAGAATAGGTCTACTATAGAATAGGTCTACTATAGAATAGGTCTAATATAGAATAGGTCTACTGACTTGTCATTCCTAGCCATCTCATTACTCCAAAACCAGAGCCAAACACTCTTCCCTGGCCTTGGATTTTCTGTCCGTCGTGGTTTAAATGAGAACTGTCCCCTATATATTCATGTCTTTAAACACTTGGTTCCCAGTTTGTGGCCCTGTATGGGGAGGTCATGGAACCTTTCAGAAGTGGAGCCTTGCTGGAGGAAGTGTGTCCCTGGGAACAGGTTTTGAAGGTTTATTGCTTTCCCCCATTTCCTATTCTATCTACCCACCAGCCCCCACCCCATCTCTACCTGTACCTCTCCTTCCTTCCCAGTCTCCCCCATCCTTCTCCTTGTGTTTGCAGATGAGATATGATCATCCATCTTCCTGGTTCTACTGCCATGCTTTCCCTGCCTGTTTCTAGTCTTCCCCACCATGATGGGCTCTAACTGGGATCCAAAATGGACCCTTTCCTGCCCTAAGCTGAGTTAGCTGCGGAGCAGTAATTGATACAGGATGTCCTGAGTTCATCTAGTGTCCCACCAGGCTGCAGGCTTCCCTGTGCCCGAAGCTTCCTGAAGGTGTTTGCTCCGGTGCTTTTGTACATGCTGTCCCTTTTGTTGTCCCTGCCCTTCATGCGCCTGGCTCCTTGTCATCTTTTAAGTTTCAACTTTCATGTCATCTCCTTAGAGAAATCATACTTTATGATTTCACTCCAATAGCCCCCCGTTTGTTCTTTTTCTTGCTCATTTTTACATAATACTTAATATACAAAATATTTACATAATTTTTTTACCTTTTGAAATTTTTTCCAGTGAAAAATTTACTCAATTCACAGAGTATGCAGTTAGGTAATTGTTTATTAGGCATTTATTGATAGGGAAATAATAGTGACCACAGTGACAATGATGGCAATGTTCCAGACTCTCTGAATTTTATATACCTACCATGTCCAATCTTCACAACAGCTATGTGAAGGAAGGGCTGCTTTGAAGTCTCATTTCATTCCGCCTAGAGGAAGCTCCGGACCCACGAGTTTGTCTCATCTCAACAGCCCATATCTTCATCTTCTGCTTTGTTATAACATGGTCCTTTTACTGACGTGCTGTTCTTGTGTATTTATGTGACTTGTAGGGAATAGGAAAACTTCTTTGAATATGTGATTTCAGTGATATAACTTACAGACAAAGGTCAGCAAAAACTTTCTTCTTTATTTAAATGCTCTTCCTTGCACAAGTAGAATAAAGTGATCACTGTACTTTTTATAATGGAGAAATACATGTTTATAAATATATTTTGTTTACCGGCTACTTAAATAGACATATCTCTAAATAAGTATCTTATATCTGCAAAAATAGCCTACCAAAAACATGAAAGGAGTTGTGTTTCTTCCCTCCTACTGCACTCATTTGGAAAAGGCAAGTGTTGCTTCCAGCGCAGTTTTCCTGCTTCTATATTCCTCCCTCCTGGGTTTTTCTGTCAAGGCTCATAAAATCCTAGAAGAACTCTAAACATCAAAATCCAATGCTTCATTTCTCCAACCCTAAGAGGAGGTGCTGAAATGCTAATAATATAAATAAAATAGTGCCTGTGTGTTTAGGCTGATTTTGAAGGTCATGCTCCCAAATTGGATGTTTTGAGCACCACAATGTTCACTGTAATCTATCTACCACATAGACAGTGCAACAACTACACTGATATGAAGTACAAATTACAGGCACAGTGGCATAGCTCGTGCTAATGCAGGCATTGAGTATGTTTCTGAACAGTGTGGAACTAGAGCAAGAAAGGAAATCCTTGATAAAAATGAATGGCAATAGGTGGAAACCACGTTTACATGACTTCTGGTAGTTTCTGGTAGTCATTTAATCCATACTTCATAAAGCAGTAGAATTGAAGCAGAAATACATGGCTGTATCCACTTTGACTATAATCAGAGGCTGGAAGAAGCTAAGGGGGAAATACCAGAAATGCATGTAAACTGCTCTAAAATCTTTGCTCCCGGCAATGCATGTGTTCACTGGACTAAAGAGCCTGGTAGAAACAATAGCCAGAAGCCTAAAAATATCAAATAGAAATTTCAATTGCAGGGAGTTCTTTTATAATTAGTAGACATTTATTGTGAGAAACAATAATGTTTTTCACGATCCCGATATTAGAATTAACTAACAATTTCCAAGTAGTTTTTGTAAATATTCAAAAGTAGAGGGAAATGTCCACATTAAATAATCACTTGGAAAAATATCAGCAAAATGCAAACTATAAAATCTTTTGTGACACTACTCTGTGCTCTACATTTATAAGATCAACTTTAAGCTTCCACATATAAGTGAAAATATACAGTATTCTTTATTTGACTGACTTATGTCATTCAACACGGTGTCCTCTAGGTGCACATATATGACAGGAATTCATTCTTTATTATGGCCACATAATAGTCTATCAGGAAAAATGCCCTTTAAAAATGAAAATGACATAAAGGAGGATTATGATTAATAAATGACACAAAATGCGAAGTTGTTCAGACAGAAAGACACCAACAATGCCAGATGAGATTGGGTTTTCAAAATCAATAAAGAGCACTAGAAATCACAAATTTGTGGTATAAAGCACTCTTTTCATCTTTGTTTTTCTTAAACAAGCTAATGCAAATTTGTGAATCATATTGGGTTTATAACATGTGTGGATATAAATTACATATGACAAGAATGCTTCAGGATAAGAAAAAGAGAGGGCATTAAGTAAAAAGGCACAGTGCTGTGTTCTCTTGCAGGAGTGAGTGTGATGTGGACTTTAAGATGACTTTGGCAGCTGCAAATAAAAGTTTATTCTTAAAAGATTCCTTTTTATCATGAAAAGAGGAAAATAATGACAAATAGAGAAAATCAAAATAAATGGGAGACTTAGAAATTAGACATAAAAATGGCAGGTCTAACCATAGTTAAATCAATATTATATTTGATATAACTGTTCTAAATTATATAATTAATGCAAGAATACTCAGATTGAATGACATGGACGATCCAGATATTTTCCCTATAGGAGACACATTTTAAGGTCTTTGAGCCATTTTGAGTCGGTTTTGTGCAAAGTGAATGACACCGGATCTAGTTTGATTGTTTTATATGTATGTGGGTATCAAATTTTCCTAACATCATTTGTGGAAGAAGCTATCTTTCACCAATGTATGTTTTTGACATATTTGCCAAAAATGAATAGCTGTACATATGTGTGAGTTTGCTTCTAGGTCCTCTATACTCATCCACTAGTCTCTGTGTCTGCTGTAGGGCATTCTTCACCAGCAGGACTGGACTCTTTCCATTTCCCTCACTCTGGGTTATTATTTGAAATCAAGCATGGTGCCTCAAGCGTTACTGTTTCTAATCAGGATTGTTTGGTCTATGTGGGGCCTTCAGTGCTTCCATCTGAGGTATTGAGAGAAACTCTGACACTACTAGGAGAAAGCACTTCAAAACATAATCATGGGCAAGAATTTTCTGAACAGGACTCCAGTAGTCCAGAGAACAATTTCAAGGCCTGGCAAATGGGCTTGCATGAAATTTAAAAACTTCTACACAACAAAGGAAACAGTTAACAAAATGGAGAAATAGTGATCAGAATGGAAGACATGTTTGCTGCCTCTACTAGGAACTAATATCTAAAAATGTATAGAGAACTAACAAATTTAAACATCAAAAAAATCAAATAATTCTATCAATAAGTAAGTATATAAGATAAATAGTGTTTCTCAAAAGACAAGTGCGAGTAACCAGAGGATACATGAGAGTCTTACAGCCTCAGTCTGCAGGGACACGCTAATCAAAGCACGCTGAGATTTCATCTCACCTTGTCAGAAGGC